AGTTATCATTTTTGTGTTGATTTCAGATCATTATGTACGTTGTGAATAAAGCATTGGAAATGTTTCATAAAGTTTCAAAAATTTGTACTTAACAAGCGTTCCAACCAACATATTTAGTTTTTTTAGTTTCTTTTAACATTTTCTTTTTTGATTTTCACAGGTGTTTCTTATCCCTTTAGAGCTCCACTAAGTATAGCTTTTGATTTTACACAGTGTAGCATGTCTCCAACTTCCTTAGCTAATGGTAACAGTCAGTTTTACAGTGTCGTGAGGGTTTTGCCAAGTTGAGCTCACGTGTAAAGTGCTCTATAATACAAAAAGCCACTCTGTAGTAGCATAAGCTATTTCTAATTACTTTACAAGAACCTAAAAACAAAATCCCCTCTACATGTTTCAACACTACAATTTTCTTTGCATTACAATGGAGATTTTCATTTTTAAAGGTACACGAAACTCTATTTTCTCACCTTTGAATAGTTTTCATCAATTGTGTGATTACTGGCTTGTTCTTTTATTTAACATAATTTCTTAAACTATCTGATACATAGGCCCTGTTTGATAGACATAATTTTCCATGGATTTTTTCCATTTTCCAATTTTTGCACCTGTTTGATTGCAAAATTTTCCCCGGAAAATTTTTTCCTCCTTTCCTTATTTCCCAGCTTTTTGAGGAAAATGTATTCTTATTGTTTTGGTAGGTTTTGATTTTCCAGGTTTTTTTTTATTTGCAATTGGAAAAAATTTTAGACACAATGGTAAAAATTTTTATCACTTTTATAGACAATTTCCATGCAAAACAAAGCCAAACGAATGGTAATCGATATGATAAATTTTTTTAATTTTTAAATATTAGGCAATTGGAATAAATTTTAGACCCAATGATAAAAAAAGTTATCACTTTAATGAATAATTTCCATGAAANTTTTTTGTCAATTGGAACAAATTCTTGACCAATGGTAGAAAACATTATCATTTTAATTGACAATTTTCATAAAAAATGAAACCAAACGGAACCAAACTTTCAACATTTTCCAGGTGAAAAATTATACCAATCAAACACAACTAATTACAATTCCCAATAAAACAATGTCTAGGCAATTCAATTCCTTGTAAAACATTTTCTTTCCACCCATTTTCCACATTTGCAATCAAACGGACCCTTAGTCTATGCTTTGTAATTTCAAGTCTGCATGGATTTATTGAACGTTGTATGGTGTATTTGTCAAATGATTGGATAATATAATACTTTTTTATGTGTCTTTAATCCAAAATTTTACAGCTTACTGAAGTTTGTGTTGTGCATTTTGTCAAATGATTAGATTATGTGGTGCTTTTTTGTCGATTGTGCGTGCATGATAGACCATCGATTAGATTTACTTATGCAAAGAGAGAAGTGGAAGGCTACATTCAGCAATGACATAGAGAAGGCAGCAGAATAAACCATTATCAGTTCAAGTTAGTTAGTTAGCAAGTATATACAAGTGTAGTTAAGGCATTGAGAGGGAAGGAAGATAGATGTGATGGGAGGTCTACATAGGATTATTGAAGTGTTTAGAGTTAGTTAGGAGAGAATTCACATTTTGAATTGCCTTCGAGTCGTTTATTTAAATCATCATTTTCCCTTGAATACAATTACATTTCCTTCTTTTACCATCACAATTCTAAGAAAATTCATAAATATAGTCATTACATTCTCTAACTCAATAGTGTGATTCACTGTACGTATAACTATTCTTTGTTTGCATCACAGATACATAAAAGCATCTCTAGCGACAGTAGGCTATGTAGCAGAATCAGCAGCAACAAACATGTATGTGTCAGTGCATTATTAGTCGATATTTGAGTGAGTGTTTTAGATTTTAGAGTTTGCCTGTCTGTTTATTTACTAATGTGATTTTTTTCGTTGAAAGATTTTCTATTTTGCATTATATGTGTAAAAAGATGAACGATATATATTGGGCTCATTCTATTTTCTACTTATTGTAATTTTTTGAATTTCTTTCCTCTTGGCTCATGTGTCTGTAATCTAAAATCTATAGGGCAATTGGTTGTGACCCCTTTTCGTTAAATGATACATTCTACGAAATTTTTTTCTTGCTTTTAGATCGGTGTGTTGAAAGTGACATCATATTTTCTATTAAATAACGACGTTTAAAAACCTAATGTTTTAATTCAGATATCAAATAAATCATATTCAAAATTGTTTAACTTCCGTGAATTTTCATTGTTGCAATATTAAGATATATGATATCATGCTTAGTTGGATTTTTTAGATAAAAAAAAATATAAACCATAAAATCACAATGTTTAAGATGTTCTAACATAATATAAGAATACATTAATTAATATACACAATTAAATATTTAGATGTTCTAAAACAGTTTGTCTTTTTAACAAAATTCCTTTCAGAATTATAACAGTGATTGTGCAACGCACGATCCCCCACTAGTATACATAATAATGTACATAGTAGTGAACATACATATAGAATCATCCAATCGACTTTTAGAGCAATTCCACTTGTACATCAAAAGATGTACATAAAGGGCTACACT